ATACAAATATCAAAATAATAAAATAATACTAAGATAAAATAATAAACTAATAAAATAAAACTGTTCTATAACAATCTAAAATAAAATAAAATTTATTGAATTTGTTGCAATGGTTTGCAAGATACTTCGTTCAAAATTTTAAATACTTATATTAATCATTTGTTGGCCTAATGAAGATAAGTTACTTGTATACTGTATTAGTATAATTTTCCAAAAATATATTATCTCTTTAATCGTTATTATATTGTTATAGTACTGTGGCCTTCTTAACAGCAGTACTATAATAATGACATGGCTATAGAGATCTTTTATAAGTTTATAGTAGTGTCAAATAGATAAGTATAATTTCTACTTCTTAGAGAAACTATACCCTTCTGTTTGTGGCAATTTGGGCAGATAATAGTTTATAAATAAAATATATTAGAGTGTGGCGACTTAGAGTAGTGGTTAAGTTATCACCCCCCAAGTGGCAGGTCTAGAGTTCAAATCCCACCGGAGATGTTTTTAGAAAAATAGGCCTGTATATCGATAACAATTATTCAACGATCGGTTGTGTATATTATCTGTAATCTTGGTACTACTATCTCGAAGAAACCGGAATAATTGAAACCTATTTGGCAAGACCCGAGTAAGAAAATAGTGACGATCTTTAATGATACTGCAGAAAGTCAGAAACCAGAGACCAAAGAATCGGACGAAAACCTTGGGACAAGAAGGTTCACCAACCTGGCCGCCAGAATTGCACTGGAGAAAAAGGTCCTATGCTACAGAATTAGAAACCAAGGGAAGTAAAACCAGAAGGCACTTAAAGCCTAGGTATAACAACCCATCCAGGCTAACTGGTTTGGTAATTGAAGAGGGATCGATATAAGGACTGGCTTGATGTAGGTATTGGAATTGGAACAAACCTTGTAAGGGCCAGAGGGTTTGGCGGTATGGCCTGCCTATAAAGGTTTAGAATCTATCCAGCAAAACTATCTGTGGAAAGAATTAGTGGTGTGGTCTGCCTATAAAGGTATAGAACCTATCCAGCAAGACTTATCCGAAAAAGACTAGGTAATACAGTAATAAGTGGATACCGGACTGCTCTAGCAGGTAATGCACTCGAGGATGAATCAGTTAATCATGCCGGTAGTCCTATAGGTAATTCGTGATGATCTTGGATCTTGGACTGACTTATGTATCACATATTCCGGGTAAGATTAGACAGATTGGCATAGGAAACTCAGATCAGAGGGTTTAATTAGGTAATCTAAATAATAGTGGGTTACAGTACGGCATCTAGTGTAGAACCTAGTAATAGGCAGACTACTTAAATTAGATGCTCAAAAGGCGCAGATATGGCTAGAATATACCTTCATCAGAATGTACTTGTCTGGGGCCCCTGAGAAAAGGGCATCACATGATTCTACAAATCTAATAAAAGTGAAAAGCCAAAGAGGCTAACTTTGACTATAAAAAAAAAAAATATATATATATATATATATATTTATTAAAGATAAATAAGATAGGCTATCTTTAGGCTTCTATTCCTAAAGAATCTTATAATATTACAAGTGAGAATTTAGAGAAGAAGAGAGTTTGTATTTAAGATGAACAATAAACAGGACTTTTGTTATTACAAGTCTAATGTTAACTTGGGAAAATTTACAACCTTTTTATATCTTTAAAGCTAATTGCTAATCATTGCAACTAAGCATAATTTGTTTAGTGCTAAGTGCTAATTGTAATAGCTAATCATTAAGCATTAAGTATTAATTGCTAATCTAAGTATAATCACTAATCACTAAGCATAATCACTAATCATTAAACATAATTATTAATTGTTAATTGCTAAGCATAATTGCTAATTGCTAAGTGTAATCACTAATCGTTAATCACTAAGTGTTAAGGCTAATTGTTATACATGTCTTTTTAAATTCTTCTCTAAGATAAATATAATAATAACTAATAAAATACAAATATCAAAATAATAAAATAATACTAAAATAAAATAATAAACTAATAAAATAAAACTTTTCTATAACAATATGATCCAATATTGCATGTGACTACTATGAGATTATTGGGACTCAGTCCGAACCTGACTCCTGACCAAGTCGAGATTAAAACTCGATTCATGGAGTCGGACCGGACCGGACTGGACTTTTAACATCCCTAATGATTGGTACATGTACCACTTCGCGGCACGTGTTCATTTGCCACCATTATTCAACAAATTTTGGCCAATATTGTAAACCTTTATCTATATACATATTAAAGATGTATAGTTACTTAATAAAAAATATCATAGTTAAATATATGAATTCTTTGGATTTATCATACATAAATTCTTATAGAAAATTCAAGACTATAGAGTAAGAAAAGTTGTAAATAATTGTTTCAAATAGTTTTTTCGGTGCCAAAATTAATCAATTTCCAATTGCTATTTAAATAACGTGAGTATTTCACCGTGTACTATTATTATAATATTTTGTTTTTTTAATTTTTTGCTACGTATTAGTTTTTTCTTTTAGTATTATTTTTTCTAAAACATACTACGTAATAAAACATTATACGTAACTATATTTTAGTACAATTCCAAAAAAAGCTTAGATATAGTATACGTATACGTAGCTAGTTTATACGTATCGGTATGAATTTCAAATAAAATCCATAATTTTCCAGGTTCTTTATTTGTATTTTCTTTTGTGATACATTAACATAAACATATTAATTACCGTCACATTATTAATATTTTAAGGCTTCACAAAAATTTTAAAATACGTATTTGAGCAAAGATTGCATCCTAATACGTAGTACAGTTGTTAAATTACTGGAAATAGTAACGGTAAATATCGATACGTAACAATTTCAAAATATTTACAAAAGTGATACGTAATAGATACGTATGCGAAATACATACCCTATTTTGGATAGTAATAATAATTTACAAAATGAAGGTAGTAACGTGCCTAGTGATTCCGATTCTGAATAATTAGAACCACTCATCAAGAAAGGATAAATCCTTAGGTTTTGATCATTGGATATGATCCTATATTCTAAACTATTTATTCATTTTAAGATTATTCATTCTTTTTTTAATTATCCGAATTAACGTAAACGAATATTATAAAGACTATATAATTTTTGTTTATATTTCTTTGTGTATATATATAGTATAAAAAAATAAACATATAAAAACGCAAATCTATTTCGATTACATAAAACCTGCATGTAAATATCTTTTTAGTATATAATGAAAAACACGTAATTTTTTTAATGATGAAAAATTATTCTATATGAAAAATCCCAATTACAGTAACGAATCAAACGGATCATAACGTTTCTGAGACCCGTTCGTAGAATTCTGCTGCAAAGGCTGTGCACCAGTCCAAGTTCCTTTAACTGCCCATGATGAAGAATTGGCTTGTGCAAGAGAATTCATAGACGGTTTTGCAGGTTGCTTCGTCGTTTTGGATTCCTTTCCCAAAGAATCTAAACTTACTAAATTTGATGCTTGCGCCCAAATATCATTCGATTTCAGAGCAGGAAATGAAGTTGAATTTGTGGAATTCTGGAAAATGTAATTATAATATATATATTAATTTAATTATGCTAAGTTTACAGTCAGCTTTTAAATTTTCACACGTACATGTTTTGGGGTTGTTGGTGAAGTTGGCTTGGAATTAAGGGTAGATGTTGAATGAGTCTGATTAGCAGAGTTGGTGATAGAGTTGGTCGGAGTTATCATAGATAAACCTGTGCTTGGTGTTGTGGTAACTGGTGAAACAGGACCAAGTAAGTCGTCAAGTAAATTATTGTTAGCTTGAGGTACATTTGCATTGTTTTTTGGCACATTAACATTATTAATAGGTTGTGTATTTGGTTTTGGTACTGAAGTAAACTGAAATCCGGCCAAATTCGATGAATTCATTGAGATAGAAGATCTTTGTGAAGAAGTTGTGAGTGGAGCACTTTGAAAATCTTGAAAATCATCGTCTAATTTCAAATATGTATAAAATATACACAAAATATTATAATAACAATTCGCAAAGTGAAATATCATTCAACTGGGTAAGTAAAATTAATACCAATAAATGCAGTTTGCATCGAGCCAAAATCATTCTGGAGTGCAGGATTAGTATTAGTTGGAGTATCATCAAAATCGAATAAATTAACTTCAGTATTTGCAGTCGCAAGTTCATCTGAATTAGTTGTCGCAGTCGACGGTTCAACTATATTTTTATTGGATGATTGACTAAGACGAGATGCACTAGTACTGGTTCTTCTCTCTTCATTAAAAGAGGATCTATCTGCTCTATAATCGACATGCCATTGTGAGTCTGGTTCATCATATCTGGAACGTGTCCGATCTTCATCTGTTTAGGTTAGTAAATCATTATCAGTATGTAACATATATATTACAATGGCCTTTCTCCTATGTAATACTTACTATAATAAAAAGTGTCATTTCCAAATCCTCCATAACGAGATGACGAACCACCATAACCAATAGCATCTGAGCTAACACCTGTGTATTTAGTTCTATTTGCTTTCGCTTTTCTTCTTTCCTGCCTAATTTTCTCGACGTCACTTAATAATTCAGCAAGTTCTCTTGCACGATTCCGAACTGAAATATAAATTAAAGGTTAACCATGGGCTAACATTCCTAATGTATAATTGTTTTTAAAAAAAAAATTTACCGTTGACACCTTGATCTTTTCCCTTATCATCAATATAGGCGAAATTACGCATCATCTTAATAGTTTGCATATGTGCACGAGCATCGTCAACTACTCTTTCAGCGCCATGTTTAACGAGGTATTCAAGTAATTGTAGAGCCTAACAATATTGATGTGTAAGTCACGTTCTTAAGACTAAACATTTTAACAAAAGCTTTTCACCTTGTATATCTGCCTCCATTGTCGGGCCTCCTTTTCTGTGAACCGTTTATAGATCGTTGTCATGATCTCATTGAAACTCTGGCTTTAATAAATGGAAGAGATCCCTTCACAGTGTCAAAAAAGATCTTTTATCGGTTACAAAGCAAGGATGATTACAGTCTACTCACTAATGATACGTCCCTTGGGCAATCTCTTGCATCAATGTGCTACTAGCACCCCAAGGCTCATTATTGGTTGCCTCACGGACCTTTGCCTCCATCTCTGTGTAGTTCATGACTACATTTTTTCTAGTATATTAAATAATATTTCCCTATTAGCACTTAACACAAAGGACGTACGCTTGCACCTTTCAATCTGATTACATACACCTTATTAAAGGCATCTTTAACATCCCAGAGTGTTAAATTATTCAGTTGATCCATCATTCCGAAAATGCAGCTAAGACACTCCTATTTTTCTTTGGATGACACGTTTATGAGAAATATTGAATTTATGTCTTATTGTAATAAACCTTTTTAAAAAATTTCCGTCAGTGGCTGTGATTAACGCTGTGGCTAGGTACAAATTAAAAGTTCCGGTATTGTGACGTGTTCATTAATCATTTGATATACAGACATATATATATATATATATAGTTGCTTTTGAAACTCTATAAACGTGATCCTTAAAGTTTACGATCCATTCAACCAAAATAAGACATTATATTTTTATATCGAATGACTTAATATCGATATTATTTGGATGCCGCTAAGAGAAAACCTGTTACATATCAAGGATTTAAGTTTATTGCTTACCGGACTCAAAGTGAGGTTTTCCTTTGGCAATTAAATTTAAATTTAGTCGCTTCTATATCGAAATTCTATATACCGAACTATGACTATAACAAGCAAAATAATAATAATTTATAAGTGTGGTGGCAAGGGAAAACCTGTACGTAAGTTATCACTGTACTGGATTTGATCCAGAAGAATTATGTGCATACAATCAATGTACGTACTTGGTTGTTTCGATAACAAAAAACAAGTATTGCATTGATATTTTTATACAGTTAAACCCTCTAAGTGCACGCCCTTGGGACCGGAAATAATGTGCATTTACGTTTAGAGAAGGTGTGCAATTAAGGCAAGTTTAACTAGCCAATCAAAAGCAAGAAAATATACATATGATTATTTTCAAACCTCTCTAAGTATACACTCTTATCATTATAATCAAAGATATTTATATAGAGAGGGTGTAAATTCTGTATTTTATTGGTCATATCGCTTGCATTTACATACGTATGTCAGGGTCTCAAATTTATGCACGTGCGAAGTAGAGATACTACGTGGTGAAACCAATTTCACAGTATACACTTAGTAGTAAAATTATTTCATCTTTAATTTCACCGGCATCTTTAGCAAAGGTGTGCATTTAGCACTAAGTACCAGGTTTGGGACCAAGCTAGAGTGTACATTTAGGGAGGGTGTGCTTAAAAAGTCTGCCTGCTGGGTCTGTTTAAGATTTTACAGTCGAATAAATT